TTAAACTGAGCAGAACAGATACTACACTTGATCTTAGCCAAAAGGCCGAAAAAGGACCAGATATTAAACTGAGCAGAACAGATACTACACTTGATCTTACCCAAAAGGCCGAGAAAGGTATTTAAAAAAAAGAAAAAAAACACCGAAGGACCGCTTACAACCCTAAGGAAAAAAATGTTCCATGCAAAATTCAGTCTTTATAGTACACGGACAGTTTGTTGTGCAGGATTTTAAGGATTTTTTTAATTTTAATTTTTAGCGATTTTCAGGATTAAAAAAAAAAATTCCATGCAAAATTCACTCTTTATGGTACTCGTACACTGCGTACAGTTTGTTTTGCAGGATTTTCAGGATTTTTTGAAAATTTTATTTTTAACGACTTTCACGATTTTCAGGATATTTTTATTTTTCCATGCAAAATTCACCCTTTATAGTACCCGTACACTGCGTACAGTTTGTTTTGCAGGATNAACGACTTTCACGATTTTCAGGATATTTTTATTTTTCCATGCAAAATTCACCCTTTATAGTACCCGTACACTGCGTACAGTTTGTTTTGCAGGATGTTCAGGATTTTTTTTTTTAATTTTTACTTTTAGCGATTTTCAGGATTTTGATTTTGAGGGCTTTGCCAAAACCGTCCTCAAAACTTTTTTTCAGGATTTTTTCAGGATTTTCAAACACCTTTGCATTATTATACCTCTGTCGAGGGGGTGTGCCAAGTTTGTGCTACACCCCTGTCAGGGGGGCAGATTGAAAATTTGTGCAACCCGCTGACGGGGGTAGATCGCAAAGATCTGGATTCAAATTTCAAAGTGCATTTTATTTTTATTTTTTAAATGAACGAGAGACGTGCAAGAGGCCACCACACCCGGGGCCAAGTCCCACAAGCAGCGTTGAGCTACCTCAACGTCTGAATGTGGACGTTTTTGAGGAGATGTGCAGAAATGGTGTTGAGTTTCCTGAACTGCACGTCTCCACAAACACGTCCAGATTCAGTCGTTGAGGTAGCTCAACGCTGCTAGTGGGACTTGGCCCCCGCTCGGCACTGCGAGAGACGAGAGGAAAAAATTTGGACCATTTTTATTTGTGTCACCCTTGAAAGCGCAGGGGCCATGCTAATCTTCTCTTTCTCTGTATCGTTCCAATTTTAACGGATGTCCCGAAGGACAAGGGCATTTTTTTTACAAACGTTTTGAAATCTTAGGGGGGTACTCCGGGTACTCCGCTCTACCCACATGTTTTAGGGGGAGGGTATTTCAGCATATAAGTGGAACTCTTGAGGGGTAATTAATATGAAGCAGTCAATTGCAATTTACTTAATCAGTTTTGAAATTTCAGAGGGGTACTCCGCTCTACCCCCATCGTTTTTTAGAGGGGTATTTCAGTATATAAGTAAGTGAACTTTCAGGGGTAATTAATATCAAATAGTCCATTGCAATTATAAATTAATTAATTGCCAGTCAAGTGCAATAATTAATTAATTGCAAGTTAATTGCAATCATTAATTAATTGCGAGTTAAAGAATAGCTTTTAAAACTCGAATAAAAATAGCTATAAAAGGTCAAATAAATAAATTCTTTCTTTCTTTTTTTTTTTTTCCGACGGTTTTTCTCGTCAGCAGCCGTTTTTGTTAATTTCAAGATTCTTAAATCGTTCTTTTCTATTTCAGGAAATTTCTATTGCAGGAAATTTAACGTGGTCCTCTTCGCTCTGTATTAAACGAGGGTTGTAGGCTCCCCGCCTCTGGACCCTCTCCGATAATGATGATGATGATGATGATGATGATGATGATGATAGAGGATGCTGCAGGTGATGGCGATGGTGAAGCTGACGAAGACGACAATGATAACAATGATGTGGCGATGGCGTTGAGGACGATGGTTGGTGGT